TCTTGACGAAAATCATGTTTTCATGTGCAGAATATATCGGTGAATTTTCTTCTGATCTATATTAATCAGCTTTTTATTTTTGAGTTTTCCCAAAAAGTGGAACATTATGCTAAATAAAGATATATATTATAAATATGGACTTGCCCGGCAGGGTACTTCTGTAAACAAACAGTTCTGCTAAGTAAATATAATCTGTGCTGTTCCTTAACAAGGGATAAGCCCAGCAAAATTACGCAATAAATGAATCTTTAAAGCCGTTTGTGAACTTCACTCACTTTCCGACTACGAAACTCTCTAGGGCTGAAAAAAGCAATCTATAGAGCCAATGTTCTACATAAATTATTAGGTCAGGGTCTTTTTCATTTATTAGCGCTTCAAAGGCTACTCATATGTTTATTTCATATATATCTCATTTCAATTATTTCAGATAATGTATTAGACTATACACCCGCAGTAACCCCGAGGAATGTACAGTCTAGTAGAGAATATCTCGACTCTGCCGCCCCAAATTTGCCAGTAGTAGCAGTCGACGAATCCGCAAACCAAGTGAACTTGGTGAAATCAGGTCGCCTTACTTATGATACAAGGGAAGGTGATCCAGCCTACAGTGGTCCGGACCGACTGCTCCCATCTGTTCGGGCAAGTCTACGTCCATCCACCACAGAGTTCTCCACCCCACAGTCTGTCGAGCCAATCCCCAGGCGGCCTTCATATCAACGCACTCAGTTTATAGAAAATTTGCCTCAAGACAGTTATCAAGGTCGAAAATCAATTTTTCAGAAAGAGGGTACAACTGTTCTTCCAGTAGCTGAGTTGACCAAGAATAAACCAAGCAGGTATGAAGAGCATTTTATGAAGGTCTTACATTCTACTGACACATATAATTCGAAGGCTTGTTAAGGGGACGGTGATATGAATATAAACTGTTAAACCTAAGTCGGCCCGCAAGTGGTTGGGGGCCAGTGCGTTAATATTAATGTTAATATGTATAAACATTTTTTAATGGGAAGCAGTCCAGACATGGGCATGGTATGAACATTATAGGTCCTGATAAAACAACACATTAATGAACACTACAAAATGTCCCATTGGAAGTGAAATATCTTTAAATGACCTTAATTATTTGAACTTATTTTGAACTTATAGTGAAATTCTATACTCCGAAAATCATTCACACAAGGAATTGAATTCAAGGATGTTTTTAAAAACTACATGCTAAGCTGTCTGTATTTTTCTAAGCGACTGAAAGTTCATTTATTAATAACAATGAGATCCATCGTGTTTCCCACACCAGGATTAGCTCTGGGACGGTGAATTGCGCGTGAATTAGTTTATGGTTATATTTAAAATTGCGCTGCATCTACCACAGTCTCTCCCCCTTCAACCAATTCAGCCTGATATTCGAACGAAGTCCAGAAAGCCTGTAGCGAGATGGGAGCAGTGGCTCTTTAATCCGACCACTTCGTATCCACGTGCCACACACGCCTGACTCCCGCACGAGGAATCAGGTCTCAACACACAAACAAGAAAAAGGAGATTCTGACCCCAACCAATTGGGAATGCCATAGCGGCCACATTGAGTTGAGCCATTGCAGCCTGAGACTCCGCCCCGTGAGGACGACCCAACCAACACTCGTTCGTTGTCATTTTTCATGGGCACAGTTTTTGTGTCGTCATTCATCTGACGCGAACATTGGGTGCAGGTGGCTAACAGAGCTTGGGACCCCGTTTACACTTGCCACGCACGACACGACTCCCAAAACAACGTCAAGTTTTCACGCGCTGACCGCTGGGAAAACACACAGTGCTTTGGTTTTGAATGCTTGGCTTTTAGTCGGCCAGGGGGGGGGACACAAACCCAAGTTCCTTGCCGAAGTAAGTAGGCTTCCAAAAATAGAAGTTCTGATGGGCTCTGTGCGATCCGAAAGGTGCTGGCAGGCAGCAGAACATGGAAAATATTTTCTGCAGTCATAATTAGGTGACAAAATCTCTTGCTTCTCCTCAGTGCAAGAGAACTGAGCAGGAAACCTTCCCCCCCAATAACGATAGAATGCATGCCCAAGTAGAATCATATCTTTTTAGCATTGCAAAATACCATATTAGCAGACTGAGTGCTAGCCAAAAGTCCGAACAGACGTGTTTCCCAGATATTCTGCCGCTGCATGACACAGCTGCGAGGTGTTCGGCTCATAAGTGGGTCTCCGAGCATTCCCTGTGTGCTTTCTGGTAGATATCCAAGTTTAGAAATTGTTGCTTTTTTAATTTTATTCTGAGATTTACTGCTAACTTGGAGTAAATTAGTTTATACTAGGGTTTATAGGTGTAGATCGAAATTTGATGTGCGAATATTTGCATCGAAGTCCTTCAGCCACAGCGGTATGACTGCCGACAGCGGGATTAACTGCCAACAGACAGCTAGTAGTATATTTTAACATGGCAAGTTCCAGTATTAGCATCACAGACATCAGTTAAAAGCCCAGACACGTGTGTTTTGCCGATATTCTGCCGCTGCATGGCAAAGTTATCGGGGGTTCAGGTAATCAGTGCGTCCTGAAGCCAAAAACTAAAACCCCTAGTAATTTTTTCACGCTGTATATAATTGACTGCGTTTCCTTATTAGCGCTGTTTGACAAGAAATAGTTTCCAGTGGCTTCCTCATGGCAAAGAAACTTTACTTCTTGAAATAATAACTTTTCCTAAAATTTGAGTAGGTTGGGAAGAGTTAACATATACTCAGAAAAGGAAGGAATTCATCTAAACTGCCGCGCACCTGACTACTCTACAAATTGGCACAATCTGACCGATAGGGACATAGTTTGTCTTCACAGACCGCCTATGTACAGACAGTCGAAAACATCACAGTATGGTCGGCTGACCGTCTTTTCTATGGTGGGGGATCTTGCTGACTAATAAGCGAAGTCGAAATCAAATATTTACCTCCACCTTGAATAAAATAGGGCACAACTTAATATGTACAGGGTCGTGTTAATAAATGGATACTCCACAGCCGTTTTGTACATAAATCTTATAGTGGTTACCTCTTTCAGAAAATTCTGCTATGCGATCCGTCATTGTGAAGTTATAAACACAGGACGCATTCTGAGCCCTCCTGCTAAATTAACCTGCCGACTTAAACAGACTACCCCTTTCCTCTGCTACGATTTCGCATGCAAGAACTCACTAAGACGATTTTGCAGAATAAATCAACCATTTATAGAACTGATGCCTATTCACGTAGTGGTCAACGGATTATCCTAAATATATATAGTAATTCATGTTTGACTGTTCAAAACTTGACGATGCGAGAGAACATTGGAACATGAATTTGCTGCTTTTTCCATTGCAAATTACAAACTGTGCCCATTCAGTCAATATGACATAGGATGCAGTTCGCATACCCAAGTAAGGACTGATCTTGAGAAAATTCCCTAACATCTACGGTTTTTAACATGAACAAAGAAAAAGTGTTGAAAACTGCGTCGGGACTGATTGACGAGGTAGAGCATCTCAGGAACGATTAGTGCCGACAGTGGGGAAATCAGGTTTCTTAACGAGCCGGATTAAAATGGTTGCAACTGAAAGATCTCTCAGGCTTGGGAAGAGTGTCTACGGAGGAAATGATATGCACAGTATTTCTAGCAGACAGAATCATGAGCCTGAGGCGTGTCCATCAGGTAAGCAGATGGACCAATCAACAAATCGGCGGATGTGGCCAATAAGCATCGCTGATATCCCCAGATGATGACTGCTGTGGTATGGCCGACAACGGCAAATCCTAAGGTTATTCTATACACGAAGACTATTGGCAAGGCAAAGCGATGACGTATAATGTGACCTCCAAGGCAAATTACAAAAACCCAGAGAAGGCTTTTTGGTTAATTTAAAGATGAGTTCGACCCGAGTGAACGTTTTTTAAACATGTTCTGGTGTGGCGAACTGTCCTGCCTATGTTAGTTTACAAGGTTGTTGACTATTCCTGTCAATTACGATCATTGTACTTCGTTGGTTCATGTCGCCGTGACGTTGTATCGTGTTACCATTCAGTCCACGTTGAATCCAAGTGTTTTCTTTAGACCAGTTACACTTTTCTTCGTGTGCAAACCCTGAAATAAAACCATTCATACAGAATTATACAAAACCTTACGACAAATGTAAGTTGTCGAATACATTAACAAATGTCCATATTGCCGAGCAGTCGTCAAATCACGAAAGGCCTGAAGTTTAAATGTAAATATTATGTTATTTTTAATAATATTTGTTGGCAAGAAAATGTGTAAGTACCGTTTGAGTGCAAGTAAAAATATGAAATCCTCCACTGCTCGCTGACTCGGAGTGGACTTTACCGAGATTCGCTCTATCTAACTAACATCTTTTGACAAATAGTGTGTACAACACTAGTGCGAAAGGGCAGAATCCGTTCGTTTTCCTAATGTTTACGACTAGATGCTGTTTTTAAATAAATTTGATGATTTTTCCTCAAATATTAATTTACCAAATATGACGGACACTGCCTCAAGGCATTTGTCCCATAAGTTACAAAATTTTATATTTTTTGCGGAAACGCCCGTAAGATTATTTTGCGAAATCTGCCCAAAACCGCCTTTTGGTTAAGTCGGAAGAAGGATCAGCGTGGTTGCGTTTACGCTCCAAGGAAATGCATTTATATCCTGTCAATTAGTAAAAAGAGCCTCATTCATGTATATGTATTGCCCTGATGATGAGTTGTTGAAAATTTATGTTTGTCAACTGACTTTTTAAGTAAATGCAGTCAAACATATACAGACCGTCACGGACAAGGTAGCATGATTTAGTTACGTCTTCTTCCACATGTTTTGTTACTCATAAGAAAACGCTTTAACACTTTTGGAAGCATGGCAAGGGTCTCGTTTTTTTACGGAATGCCATGTACGTATTTTGCCAGGGACGATTACAGACGACGATCAACCCTGCCTGAAATAAAGGACAAAGAGCTGGCATTAATTACGACAAACATAGATGACATGAAACAGGAACTGGAGGAGTTGGAAAGAAAACAACGTCGTCGAATGGCTGCTCTTCAAAAAGCTGAAGAGGAGCAGCGACTAAGGGAGGTGGCGGAACGTGAAGAACAGCTAGCAAGGGAACGCCAAGCGCGTCAGGAGCAAGAGAGGTTAGTTTATTAATTTGTGCGTACATTGCTACTTTTGTTAAGTACGTAGTATTAATTAAAGACTATAGCTAACCTCATGCGTTACGTGCCTCGCGTCACCGCCGCCGCCGCCGCCGCCGCCGCCGGGATATTGAGTCCAGCCATGCATGAAAGAAGACTCATTGAGCTTCTGTGTTCGATAGCAATAAAATAAGTATAAGTTAACTTGTAAGAGTGGGACTGGTTCGTTTCCAAGACACCACCAAATGACCATATTTCCGAGCGTTGGAAGCACATTCTCCAAGTAACTTTCGAAAGACAACTGTGATTGCGACAAATCTGAGAAGCGCCTACGGTCGTTGTGCGCTTATCCGAGCTTTTCCCTGGTAACTGAAATAAATGCCATTGTTGAATGCCTCTAGTAAGTAGTTTACGCTTGGCGGAGATGCAAACGTTGATAAGGAAGTAGTGTAAGCATCTAACCAACTCCTACAGCCGATTCTATAACAAACTCAGTTAGGACCGCATGCACTACACAAAACTGGAAATCCAGAGTGAGCCCTGGTTCATCATAGACCAACATAAATCAGTTTTTTGTCGCCAACTGCGTTAGCTTAAGTTGACCCAGGTAAAATTTTACATATTCGAAAAATGCATATGAAGAATACGCCTGAGAAAGCGAGCTCAGAATACTAATAGTGAGTGGCAATTTCAGATGTCGTTTAAACTAGCTCCAATTTATTGTTTTAGACATGAGACTAGGATCGCTTATTCAGATGCGGACAGCAGTTCCATTTTACAAAGTATGTGCCCCTGTTTAAAACTGCCATATCCTTTACGACCGACTTAAGGCTAGGTGCGATCACATTTCCTGCCACCGATCGACACTACTTTATTCATGCTTACTGGACTGTTCCGATTGGATTAAATGTCCAGGATTATCTCCTTCTGCCACAGCCGACGAATGTATCTAATCGAGTCGGACAACAGATACCGAGAAGCAACTTTTAAAACAGCGTGTTTACCTGCCTGATGTCAAAAATGGCTGCTATTAGTGATTACGAAACAAATGAAGTCTGGAGCTGCCTTTGGCAATAACGATAAATGAAATAGTTACATAGCAGCCGCTCTAGTTTATGCTTTAGGGAGAGATAAAGTAGGTGCACTAACTCATGAAATGTTAACCGAAATTCAGAAATGCATTTATGTTTTAAAAAGATTGGGTAAGCCGGATTGTAAAAATAATCAAATTGCAGCGCAATTGTATAATAATTCAGTTAGCCCTGGAAGCCGGCTTTCGAAAGAACTTCTTTCGGACCGCGTGTAAAAAGGCGCACTGTGAAGAATGATTGCATAACTAGCATTAGTTTATCTCATTGATTTTTATGGCCTTGAAAATTCAGCTAATTTTCATAGAAAATTACATAAAAATATTCATTATTTTACTCATTTGGTGGAAAGTGACGTCTTCTTCCAATTTGGTCCTCGAAGGAAGGGTATAATTAGGTTTTAAAAAAGTTTCCAACTGTGAGATTTCGTAATACCGTGAAGTGGCCGTTCGTCGAACATCTTTTCCCCGCCCTTACTAGTGTGGTTCAAATCCACTGCTAGATTTCATGAGCCCCATGTAGTCTCCTCTTAATAATGTAGAGAAATGTATGATATTCCTTGCGTAGAAAATATACGGCTTGTAGTTTGGAAGGCCTGAATGCAAGTGTAACGGCAGGTCGTGTACAAAACTATTCGAGATTTGGAAAAGTTTTTGAAAACCGAGTTATGTTCTTCCTCTAAGTATAATACTTGAAGAAGAAGAAAAAGTGAGCTTCTTCTAAGTAAGTAAAATAATAAATATTTCTATGCATGTTTTCCATGAAATATAATTGAATATCTAAAGGCATCGAATATCAATGAGAAAAGTTCATGCTAATTACGTAGTTATTTCTTTACAGAGTGTGATTTTCGCATGCGGTCGGAAAGAAATTCAATAGAAAGCCGGCATCTCGGGATGACTGAATTATTATATAATTATGCTGCACGATGTTTAACTTTGAATACCTACTTAAGTAGTCTTTTCGGAATGAAAACGCATTTCCCAATTTCGGTTAACATTTCATGAGTTAGCACACCTACTGTATTCTGGGACCTCGGAGATGACGAAGTATAGCTGACGTCTTTTACTTTGTCGTAAATTCCATTAGACCGGTTTTAACGTAAGAAGGATGGTAATCTGTTGTACAAGGTCATTATGGAAGGGAATTTTGCCTATTTGCTCCTTCTAGGCGTTGCTTCACTTCTAAAAATAAGTCAAACCTTAGGTCTCACTAAATACTTTGCTGACAGTAATGCAAACTTACTTGATGCGTACGTTTTGCAGACGAATGTGGACGTGATAGTCGAACCGTCTCAGACGAGGCAAAGAGGTAAATGCGGCCTTGACTTGCGCGTGAGCTTGTTAACAGTGAAGCAGACTCGCACCGCACCTATCTCACTCTCCCTTCCAACACCCGCAGCATTCCGACAGCATGACAATATTAGGACGACTGGATGTAGACGTGGGCGCGGTGGCTAACAATGCTTTTAGTCCGTCTGCGTGTGCCGCACGTTACCTGGTTCCCAAATTCACGCGTACAAGGCTCCATTCAGTGTGTCTGGAATATCTCAGAAGCGAAGGTGTTATAAGGTCGTTCGTTATTACCAACAAAGATAAGGGAGACTGGAATGGCCATTTCTGGCTTATTAGCCGTCGTCAGCCAGTCATACCCAACCCCGATGCGTGTAAAACCCGAGGCTGGGACTCGCGACCTGTTAGTTAGAAGTCCACACCTCTAATCACTGGACCGCTAACCACTGTCGGTAATAACATACTGCCTATAGCATGCGTCGCTGTGCGGCTGCTGGTTGGGCTCGAGAGAGAGCCCGTAAGACACAACGGAATGAGTGAGTTCCGTAAGAACCATCGGTGAGCACCCCCTACCATAGTGAATTCCCGGTCGAAACCGACAGGGCAACGGGCTCGTTGCCCAATGGTTAGAGGCGTAACAGTCTAGTTAACAGGTTGCGATTTCGAGCCCTGGGTGTTCCACACTTCGGGGTTGGGTATGACTGGCCGGAAATGGCCATTCCGGTCTCCGTTGTCTTTGTCAGCAATAAAATACTGCCTTTATCATGCTCCGCTGTGCGACTGAAGGTTGGGCTCGAGAGAGAGCCGTAAGGCACAACGGAACGAGTTTCGTAAGAACGATCGGTGAGCGCCCCCTTGCATTGTTCATTCCCGAAAAAACGCCAGATCGGAAGTCAATGGACTACGCTTTCTCTTCCCTCTCTCATACTCTAACGACCTGTCCGATCCAAATGTCAGAGAAAAAATCGGAAGCAGTTGTTGCCCTGCCATTAACTAAACTTCTATCGCGTTTCCTACAGTGGTCTAATCCTTTAGAATTGAGAGATGCCATGAAGGCCACGCTGAGGAGGAGTTTTTGTGTTCTGATCCTCATTCCAACATAGGTTCTAATTATCCCTTTAACTGACACTCTTCTAGGCCGCGACTTTTAACATGTATTTTCCACCATATTGAATTTATTGGAGCGAGGGCAGCGGGACACCCTAGGTCATAAACCACGATCGCTTTTTTTCGCCCATGTATATACATTTCCAAACCTGTCAGTCGACTGGTAGTGATTTTCGGCTCATTGCCTCGGGTTTCCTGCAAACTTTATGGTTTCGTCTTATTACTTCACTCGGATAGAGCCTCGCTCAATCATGACGAAACGGAATTATCCCGCATATCGTTGTCTGTCAACGTCTGGGTCATTTTAAGAAATAGCTAGCTCAGTGCTGGGGACAATAGGATTACCACGCTAGACCACAACTCTTAACACACCGTTTTAGTTTCAATCATGTCGGAGTCATTATAATGAGGGGTGCTCTAATGTGCGCGCTAGAGCTGGATTCTCCAATTTCGGTCGCATTCTCGTCCCTCTTCCGAACCTGATGATGAGATGAGCCGCGGTGAGTGGCACAGTTTGAAGGCACAGGTCCAGGGTGTCACAGCCATGTACGACAGTAGTTAAGCCCTCACGCAAACCCATCACAGCCTGAGAAACTCGTGCCGTGAGCCAACGTGGACCCAATTTAGGTTCAGCACGCCTTCAGGACAGTCCGTCATAGGGCATTCAGCACTGAATTACCTTAAGTTCCCGGCCCATTTAATGGTCTGATGCATGCAACTTTTTGACGAGTGTTTTGCTCAGTTTTACCTATCTATCTGAGCTGCGTTTTCCACACGTCCATTTCCACCCCCTCCAAGGAGAGCGCTGGAATTGCAAGCTGAGTTGGACAGAGCGACCGCAGCGCTGGAGAAGGCGAAGAGGGACTTGGAGGAGGCTCGTGCTGAGTGGGCCAAAATGATGGCCGACAAGGAAGCGCAGCTGGAGGAATCCAAACAGCGACTCATCGACCTCGCCAACTCCACGGCCGGTGACCAGACTGCCCTCGACGCTGAACGCCAGCGTCTGCAGGACGACATTCGACGTATGCAGGCGGAGATGGCGCAGCTGATGCGTGAGTGGGAGGCAAAGGAGGCGGACTTGCTACGACAACGCGATGAGGCTCTGAAGAAGCAGGTCGAAGTCAAGAAGGTTCTCACTAGGGAGATTGGTGTGGGTGTTCGTATGCTTAGTCTGTGAGTTTCCTCCTTAACCCTCTACGTTCTTTGCATTCTAATGAGTTAGTCAACCTTATTCCACGTTGGCTGATGTTTGATTTTTCCAAAAATATGCGTTCGGTAGGGGAATTAATGTTTAAAAAATGCATTAAATCGAAGTAAATGAACGAAGTGCATCAGTAACGTGGATTTACCAATATAATGTAGACCGGTAAGTGCAGGAAAGAACGTTTACGCATTGTTGGCCAAGGTCTGTCCTTGTCAGTCTCCTTCGTCTTCCTCGAAAGAGTTAGATGCGTCTTTGTGCCTCTCTCTACGATGGTCAACCATTAAGTTAGGTCTTGGGAGGATTGTTGCCATGTACATTACTCAGTGCAGCTCCTGCAACATTGAAAAATGTCGCCAAGTTATACTGTAATATCGGACTTGAAAAAATTTACTAGTAAGTATTTGTAGGAGTGATGACTTGTAAATAACTGAAGAACCAACGTATCGCATACACTAGGGAGCGCCTCTCATGCAGGTCTGGAAATGATTAGACGTCAGGTTTGCAAAAGTATTAAAAGATGAAATGTAATCAGGGGGTGGGTTGACTAAAAGCACAACCAGTCTTCGGTTGCCCCCCCCCACTGGAGCACGAGGTGACGGGCTACATTGTAGAGTGAAATTTGGGAACTGATATCACATTTGGCTGGAAGAAAAGCGACAGTGTTAAGGCCATGTGTTGTGATAAGGTATCACTGAGAACCTCGGGGTGACAGCTTAACAACAAGATAGTTCTAAGAATAGGAATGGACTTTTCAGGTTGCAGTAAACTTTGTCGGTTTGCGACAGTTTTAGGGGCGTATTTCTTGAAAAAATGGACTTTCACCGCCAGTCTTTGGCAGGCTACACTGCTAAATGACTCGCTTTGGAGATGTATCTCTTGCCGTACATAAGCATACCAGCATTCCATACTGTCGTTTCTGGTACGTTATCCCACATGTGAGGGGTCCGGAATACAGATGCAAATACTTGGATTGTCCTTCCTATGTAACCCTTTTTGACTCTTGAGTAATTTACTACTTATATTATGTCTACCGCGAATGGAACCTCCCACTTTGCGGAAGCTTGCGAATCTATATTTTCAAAATAAGGTTACATCCTCTCTCTCTCAGTAAGCCGAATTAATTTCACCTTTAACATGTAACAATGAAAATGACTCCTAACTACCTAATAAAAAATATATTCCTTCTACTAACGCGTCTTTAGACCACAGGTAAGTTATTGACAGTACACTCTGTAAGCACGTAGCTTCTTGTTCAAAGGATTGCCTGCTGAGTGTTCTCCTGTTTTAACCCTCCATGTAGATTTCAAGCACACTTTTAATGGCCCCGAATATTTTTTTCTTAAAATGTTTTTTTTGGGAATTTTAGCCTCAGTTGCTCCCAGAACCCGTGGTTGAAGATACTGGTGGTAAGTTGCCTATCTCCTAAATCAGCGCGTAAGAGGCATTTTGAAGATAAACCAAGGATTAAGCTTTTGGTCTCTCTACCTAGTAATTTAATCACCTAATCCCTTTTATAGAATATAGTGTAGGGAGATTTCATACTATGGAACATTCTACATTTCAGTGAGTACAGTTAGTGGCCTAACTGATGAAATGTGTCGAAATTTACGAATGATTGCCAAGCACTCGCAAACCGACACCAGTTCATGAGTCAAATTTCTATGTTACTTAAGTACAAGTTTAATAGAATTAAAAACAGAAAAGAAATATTCTAGGTAGTGTTGCGTTGTTTAGAAATGTCTATTTATTTTGAAAAGCGCAATATCCCGAAAACGTCAGAAATGGCTGTAAATAAGTAATGTTCGTTTTTAGGTGTATAGAGTGTATCCTCCTATCAAACACGTAGTAAATATGAAAGAAGACATAAAATAACGCCTAATAGCAGTGTTTTAGTGAAGTTTACAGCTAAATATCGTTTACTAAGTAGTGTGACTTCAAGTATGACGGTTTATGAACTGCCTACATTCTGGGTGTAGATTCCAAAACAGTTTTCCAGTGTTTCATAAGTTTCATGACTTTTTGGAGTTAAATGAGATAAGGGTTCAACAAGAGAAGCTGGATTTTGCTTGATTTTGCTGATGGGGACGTCGGAGGACCAAAAGTTTTCATAAGGTGACATGCCATGAGGCCGGTCGGTGCCTAATAAATTTAAATAGAACTGACAGGCGTGATCGTAAACATACCATTTTGTGTTTTTAAAGAGAACCTTTCTTCCGTTAAATTAATTTACACTTTTCCTTCGTTTCGGATTACTCTCACTGCCAAGTTCGGACTATGACAATCAGAGAAAATATACCTATTCACTATTGTCGATAAAAGCATAGAAGTGAGTCCCAGGAAGCAGTTCAGAAGAAGAAGAAGATGCGATTGCTGGAACCAGAGGTCTATTGGCCTGAGGTTTCGGATTTTCAACCGAACGCATCATCACAGACAGTGGCAACTGCCAAACCATCACACGCCTAAAATAACTAGCTGTTTCCTTATTCATCGCTGGGAGTCGTATTTGATGCGATGATGACATGTTGGTCCACATGCAAGTCGTTAACTGCCGAAATCTAATCCCGGATTTGAATTCATGACGGGGTAATTACCCAGTCATTTGACTCACTGTCCTTAGGACTGCCGCTCGACCGCGCCTGCCCCTACGGCTAATTACTCTGCCCAAACAGTCTCAGCATAAAATCTGGGAGTGAGAGGTCATTGAGCGTGCCGATCGACTAGGGACCGGAGAGCCATGACTCTGCCAGCAGGCGGTTCACGCGGCCCCCACCTCTCTCGAGGATTTCGATCTCGTCAAATTGAAGGTGTGGCCGCTATTTCAGAGCTAGCGTGTTCCTCCTTCTTCACCGCTGTTGTGTGTTTGGGAATTCGCGAACGAGGTTATCTCCCAGTTTCTACAATTCAGCTGCTCTGTTTGCATCTGCTACGGAAATTACTTGGGACGTGAATGGCCGAACCCGCATAAGCAGTAAAGAGGAATGACGTTGGTCCCCAGTTGGTGACTCATTCAAAAGGAACCTGTCACTCCTGAAACTTTGGCTGGGTAATTACCCCGTCAGGAAATCAAAACCGTGATTAGATTTGGGCAGTTAGCGAATCTCGTGCGGACCAGCATGCCATCATCGCATCAAATACGACTCCCAGCAATGAATGAGGGAGCAGCTAGTTATTTTAGGCATTTGGTGATATGGCAACTGCGGCCTATAAATACGGCACTCGTTGTTCCCCTATCACTTTTGTCCACGACAGTTTTTGAAAATGGGTTAGAGTGACAATCCAAAACGACAGGCCAATAAGCCTCTTGTCCCGCTGATCGCACCCTTTTTCTGAATGCTTTTTTATATCGCCTGTCCCACAATTATAAGACCACCCGTTCCTGACTGAACTTTCATCATATTGTATGGTTAGATTCGTTTTTCTGCCGGAGGCGTAACGATATAATTTTTGCCGCGGGCAACTCTGATCACGGAATGGTTGGTATGGATGTGTTATCAAACCGCGTCGGATTTGATATGTATAACGAGCTACTATGTTTGTTTCAGTAGTGCTTGCTTAATTTGTGGATTCATTGTTGCAAAAGTCTCCCTCCGGGTGTTATCTAGCGCACTGATAAAACTGCATGCATCGAATTGTTCCAACACGACCTATTTCAATGATAAATTATTCGGCACGATGGGGCCTTCGGTCTTCGCTTTACTCGCTCTGCGACCCGTCTGTTTTACCATGATTTCCTAATTTTCCCAATATACTTGCGTTCCCTTTCGTTTTCGACTACGTATGCCGCGACTTAAGTATTTCTCCGAAACCACTAGCGTAACTTTCTTTGGTCATGTCGGCACTCACCATACAGCACGCACAATAAGGATCGCCAACTGCGTTTTTGTTTATTTTGTCCCGATTAGAACACAAACGCTCAGTTACGTCGATACCTCCAAAGGACTTGTGTTGCCGAACGCATACGCCGTGACTAATTTACATCTTCAGGAATACTTGAGCGTAGCCCCTCGCATACTCAATAATGTGACCATTAAATTTAGTTGAGTTTATGTGTAAAAAATTACTTATAAATGGACGCTAAATTGCCTTCGGGAAGGGATCCTCCCGGTTGCTTGTTCGAGAAGCTGTTGCACCGGATATACTTTCGCAATATGCGAAGGAATATTTTTCACGCTTGCCCTAGACCAACGCCCTCTATACCAAACCACAGACGATATTGGACCTAGTATACGTGGACCCATACTGCACGACCCGACAACGGTACCCCTTCGTGGAGCTACTGTTTCACTCGCACTGGCGTGTTTTCCTGTTGTTGGATCCTTGAAGTGCGTGGTATGATTGGCTGTAAAGTGCTAAATGCCGATGCATTTCGCGTCCACATAGGCATTTTGCCACACTAGATGGCATTCCACTTGTTCGGCAGTTATCTACCAGCTCCGAGTTTTCCCCTTGTGTTTTTTCTTCCGATTACGTCAGAAAATCGAGCTATGGTTGCCTGACATTTCAGCAACCTAGAACCGATGATCTGTATTTAAGATGGAGAAAATCAAGCGTTAATACCTACTTTGTTCACTAATGAATTTCATTACTGTATATAACGTTTAACATTACGAAGTCGTCTTCTAATGTAGATACAAACATACGTTCGTCCTTACGTTATGTGACATTGTTCTTGTTCATTAGGGTGTATTTCTATAGCCCCTCTAAAATTCATATGCATCACGTTACCCCGCAGTAAATTTTCACACCTGCGTCATTTTGTACTTTCTGTTGTCCTTTCCTATTGGTTGTCCGCACTATTGGTTTCAGGCCTATTTCGAATTTGCAAGTGGCGGCTTGTTCAAATGCTTTTTATTTATTGGGAGTTGCCTTTTGTTAATATTTCAAGGAACGCGCTTAATTCCGTTGCTATATATAAGCGTAGGAGAAGGATTTCAAGTATAATCTGTGTATTATTGTTTTGTTTCATTCATTTT